AGACTAAGTATAAAAGAACCACGGATATCCTTATGGTATTCTCAGCGCTACGTTTGGGCAAGAGGTACGCCGATCCCGATTACTGGGGGAGCCAACTCGCTTAGAATTGTGTTATAGGTTGAACTGATCTGGGTGAGCGGACTTCGATCTCAAAGAACGACGAGAAAGTACAACTTAATCATGGCAGAGACAACGCTGGTCCTTGATGACCTTTCTCTATCTCAGTGTACGTGCCTTGTGTTTCAATGTTTACGCTTAGCAAGTCCAAGTTGTGCTGACTTCAAAATATCCTAGGTGCGCTATGGTGGAATAGGATATGCTGTGTACGTTTGGAAGTTTAAGCCATCGATGTTGCTCTCATCATCCACCTCTCACAATCAGGATGAACATTTTGAGTATGTCTCCTCGCATAGACTCTGTTTCTTTCTTGTGACGGGTGGCATATAGTTTATGTTCCAACTATTTCGATGACAGATACAGTGAGCATTCCACACTGATGCCTTCCATTCCTGTCGAAACACTGAACTATCATGCAGGGGTGAGTGATATTCTCGATTAACTCGTTGGTTCAACATAACGACTCCCACAGTTGTGAGTCTGTTTAGACCTTGTGATCTTCCGAAGCTGATAACTAATGTTGCTGCATTTGTCAGGCCTTATCATAAACGACGGACTTTATTTGATGGCTGACGTTGTAAATGTAATGCTGGGCGGTGAGCTATGCACCTCCGTGGCATTGACTTGACTGAAAGATCATGCAAGTGATCATGATCGCTCGGTTACATGCCATGTATCAGCGATCCAGAAAGGTGCTGATATTTCTCGTCGTCATCTTTCTGGCCATCAGAATCGCCAACGTGTGATGACCGCAATAACGATGATGCAGATTTCAGGGGTAAGCTTTAATTATGTATGAAATGTTTAAGTGGATCAGGCTGATTGAAAAATACCAGAGGAATTAGTTCTCTCCGGCACCTATCAGTGCATGTTCGACTCCGGGGGAGATTCCGGATTTCTTGTTTCCATGACTTGGATACTTTCTACTGTATGGGAGGTCCTTGCACTGTGTCTTGCGGTCTGGATTGCTGTAAAGCACTTCCGTGAATTGCGAAAACACTCAACAAGAGGTATTATCGGTGACTGTTTCATGGTGCTAATGAAAACTCATGTGAGCTACTTTGTGAGGTGAGCTCATAATGTGAATGCGGTTCTCTTCTTCCGCTGAAGTTTTGCACGTACTAGTTTTTTGGCTGTCTCTTGTTTCCAGATCGGTTTCCTCTCTCCAACGCTTTCAGCGGTATGTCGAGCTGTCACCGACTTCTACTTGCATACGAACATCATTCATCATTTCTATAGAATCATATTCCCTGGGCGCTCTGATTTATAATGGTTTCGCTCAGATATTCCAGTTTGCGGGCATGTTTGTGCTGGGACCACGCCTGATCCTCGGTGTTCGAGAATATCACGCTGAGCTGGTGGCCAACTCTGATACGGGAACCGCCATGTCTTCAATTGCTTTTCAGGAGCACGTCCACGTGTCAACTAGCAGTAGCGTGTAGTACGGAAGATACTCGATCAATATGATTTACAATCGGCGGCTAGTTCGTAGTAGTGAGCGGTTTTTGTTTTGATTTATTCCAAGTTATGTGCCGCCTTCGATCCAGTTTCAAAACTCACTTCATTCTTATTTACTGTGTGTTTTGAGAGTGGGTCCGGGCAATGTTCTCGCTGTGGTACTCAATCAAGTTATTTGATGTTACAAATATATTTGAAAGAGACATAGCTCTGAATCATATCTCTACTGACGCTAGCTACCTGCCCACGCTTGCACCATGTGGCAAGCTGAAACGTCTAACGACTTTACTTGAAAACAGTCGTTCCCTTTCAGTGTCGTGATTCTTATTCCTGACATACGAATTTATTAGCATAAGCACATTGCACATCAGACAACGTCAGGGGACCAGGTCCGTAGGCTCGAGGCAAGGTTATCAGACACCATCCCGTAATGATGGGCGCAACTGCGTCATCATTGCGTATCCTCATCTTATCTCCATTCCCTTCCAAGAACACTTGACGAGCTGAACAGGAGTAGCAATGTGCCAGTCGTGATATCCCCTTTCTCATTCTCCTTTTCCTTCGGTGGGCAGGACTTAGATGGTACGATCGACAAGAAAATGATAGTTGAGTTCTGTCAAATTGCAGCTGAGAATTACTCGAGTGGCACAATAGGGGGAATAGTTAAGTATGATGGAGGCGCATGCTGCCTAGTGGCAGGTTCGGCTGGGAAGAGAATAGTAACGGAAGTCGATAGACTCGAGAGTTGTTGGAGGTACCATCGAAGCAATTGTCGGGTACGAGATGCGAATTCTAGAGCGAGTGAATGTTGAATGGAAGCGAGGGAGACAGGCTCACCATATGGGGAGTTTCATACAGCTGTATCGTCTACTCAACAATGTCACAACAGCGTAACGCCTGGATGGCGACGACTACCTTTATGCAGAGAATCGCATTGTGAAATACGTGTATTAGCCTCCCAGCGGTGTTGAAAGATGCACCAATGATGGGCACGGAAGGAATTTCCTGGTGACATGTACAGGCAGTAGTACAGTGTTGGTACGCCCGAGAGCTCGATGATTTTGCTAAGAAATTCTCTGATGTACAAGGATCGGCAGAGTTCAGAGCGTCTAGCTCAGACGATAAGGTGCCTGCAAAGTTGAACACAACGCAGGAGGGCGCTGGAGGGGGCGTCGACTGGCGTCAACCATGACGCGTGAACTCCTCGGCATAAAGTTTGGACTTTTCTTTCAGGTCTACTGCATAATCACTGCACTTGTCACCGTTGATAGCTCATCCTGTCCTGGGTCACGAAGTGCGAGCATGACTGCATTGTTTGTACCAGGAGATATTGCGAGGAGGACACTCATGCATACGTGGCTTGAAAATGCGCAGCCTAGGATAAAGGAAGCGACGCAGAGGTCGGTGTCGAATTTGGGAGATGTATTGACGATGCTGTTGAAGACTGTTTATGATCTAGCTCAGAATCCTCAGATTGTCATGAGGCAAATCACTTTATAAGTACTCATGGAATTGCTAAGCGATGCGGTGTGGAGGAGTATGAGCAGCCAGTCGAGTGCAAAATGGGGTGCCTGGTCGCTTGTGTTTGTGCTGGCGAGCTTTGGACGATATTTTCAAGACACGGCTACAAAGCAACGATTGAGCCAGTGCTGAAGTAAATAATATTCGACGGGACCAAATATTAATCCGCCTATGATAGGCCAGCCTATTTCGTCAGACGACTAAAGTCGGAGTTCGAAAGAAAGACTGCAAAGGCTTGAGCTCAGGCTACACTACCGACTGCCGAAAATGTGTTGTACAGTCCCAAAAATGGTAAGCTGTGGCGCACATTTCCACCACCTTGGTCATATGATTTTCGCACTACCTATTGGAGACAAATATATTCTAGTCTTAGCGAAGCGAGAATGTGCGGGCTTTGAGAGATGTAATAACGACCACCGAGACACGTCTCCAAGACACTCAGAATATATCAGCTACCTGAGCTTTAGTCTATATAGGAAATGACAGGCTCTGAATATATCTCTTACCACATCTAGCACAGACATCTGGTTCATACCTGTCACACAGGTTGGCTTCCATATGTCGTGCATAGATATGCTCGATACCTCCGACATGCATCAATTCTCAGATATATAATATACTTGGATGACACCTGCGCACCATCCTCAGGCTGATCTCACTGGAGCTCTGAATGTTTGGAGAATCGAGTGCACAATAAATGAAACGAGCCACAAAAAACATCACATTACTGGTGGATGGTAGATACAGGCATGATTATGGAGTAGAGATACTGATTATGTGAAGTATGCACAAGCCAGAGTATAAATGAGCGTTAAGTATGTTTCCAAAAGAGTTCGTTCTGAATAGTCAATTGCCACTGGGGGCGGTTGGTGGAGAAGAGCGCTGGAACTTTGGTCCTTCCAGGAAAATCAGAAAGATCTTGCTGTAGATACTGCACGATGATCCTTCATGATAATCAGCGACAAAACGCAAGGCTCGATAACAAGAAATCTACTCGCTATATGCCTTCTCATATGCCAGACCCTCCTCTTCCATCGCTTGCTCCTTCGCAGCATCACGGGCGCTTGCAAGCGAGGAGTCTACAAAATTCCAAAATCTTCCCGCTGTGTAGAGGTCAGACTCAGACTTATCTTTCTCTGCGACAACCGGACCATCCCCGTCAATGCCCCCTGAGTCGCCCACATCAGGCTCAATGTTCGCATCATCCTTATCATAATCCACATTCACATTGAGGTTCTCATTTTCCTCATCGCCATCACCACTATCAATATCTCCAGGGGCTGCATTTTCACCGGTGGTATCTTGAAAGGCATTGGCACCATCGTTGTCCTCTTCGGCATCACTGTCGAGCATGTTGCGCTCTATCTCGTCAATATCGATGCCAAGCTGCGGTCCAATTTTTTGGCGGACTTCTTTTGGGAGAGAAGATATGAGCAGGGGGGAGTAAAGAGTCTTCAGAGGAACGGTCCTGTAGTTGCCGATACCAAGTAGGTAGACACGCAAGCAGCGCCACTAGTCTCAATAGGTTACTATCTATATAATATTCATTGTGACAAAAACATACCAAAAATGCGAACCTGTTCCAATGAGCTGCATCAACTTCAATACAACCATGACCAAGGCCCCTTGCGACGTCTGTGATACAAGTGCATTTAGCAATAGACGCAGTCAACTGACAAATATCATTTCAGAAAAAAATTGTGATTGTAATTTTGAACTACACACCTTAGTTTTCATATTGCCACGGATGGTAGAGAGACACTCGCTGACAATCTTACCAAATAGTGAGGAGAGTTCCACGTCCTCAAACAGTGTCTCCGGTACTTTGAATACGTCTTGATTTTTCTTGATAAATTTCTGCCATGGTGTCAGTCCACTTCAATTTCCATTCATACCACCACAAAAAACGTACCAAGATCTGTGGGTGTGTGTCTGTCACGTACGCAGTGATGTTGGGCGAAAGCATGCATGCGACTAGACGGTTTTGAAGCGCAGACTCATTAAATGATAAGTCAGACTTGTGGGATGTACAGAGACGGCAAATAATACCTTGAAATCTTTAGAGGCCAGTAACTCTTTCAGATTGGCGAGTATTCTAAGTTTTTCTTCGCCGTCGTTCTTGAGCACAAGGGCTACAGTCCTTATGAGCATCTGGTATATCCATCTGCACTGAAGGGGCACTAAATCATGTACATTTACAGTGAGTTAAAAAAATACTCACATCAACGAACTCATGAAGACTGGTGTTTGGAACACCAACCTCCTCCGCAACTTGATTTGCATAGACTTTGAGCCATTTTGTGCTGCAAGGCGTAAGGGTAACAGGGTAACCATGACTCGCACCGGAATCCACCCTTTGGCGACACACACCAGCAGTTATAGGCTCGTCCAAGGAGCCATTGGATGATGGCGCACGCAGAATGCTGAGGGAACCTGTGGTGGTGATCTGAGCATTAGTTGAAGACAATGGCAAGTGGGATACTAGAGGTGAGTGTGCGCGACTGATATTAGTACCACGCAGTTGTGAACCACATGCCAAAGGCGGTCGAGATCCTCTGCTGCTGGCTGACATGCTCCTGCCTCGAGCGAGCAAGGCATCGTTAGGTGCAAGTAGACCATTTGCTGTCGTTTGCCTAGCTTGTGGTTGCTTGCGAGCACGCACGGGATGCTGTGAGATCATGCTGCAGACAGTGAGGGAGCAGGACAACCAATGCTGCGAGTTGGTTCAAACTCCATTGAAATCAAAAACAGCATTAATTGAGTTTATGTTAATTCAATTCAATTCACCCAATGGAGAATTGTCAACCATGGTGCACCAAGACAAGTCAGGCGAGGGGGGGGATGGTGTTAAAATTACTATTACAAGTACATATTATGTTTACGAATGGTACTTTCTTGAGGCTGCAAATCAAAGTCCCTCCATCCTGCTGTTGCTGTTGCTGCTGTTGCTGTTGCTACAGAGTGGGTTGGTGACAGATGCCAGAGAGCCTTAATGCTGCTGGGGAGTAGCAAGCGTTGCTTTCCTCCACCCGGTGCAGCACCTCTAAGGGTGAGAAGGGGATTAAGGCTTGTCGCGGTAGCGGAAGCAGGCACTGTTACTGCTGCTGTTGCTGTTGCTGTTGCTGCTGCTGCTGTTGCTGCTGCGGATGAGAGTACAGGTGCTGCGGGTGTGGGTGCGGATGAGAGTACAGGTGCTGCGGGTGTGGGTGCGGATGAGAGTGCAGGTGCTGTTGCTGGTGCTGGTACTGGTGCTGCTCCGGGTGTGGATGTAAGTGCAGGTGTGGGTGCAGATTGGAGTGCAGGCACTGTTGTTGTTGTTGCTGCTGCTGCTGCAGATATGGCCCAGATGGATTTTGGTACATGTTATAGCCTGAGTGTAGTGAGATTTTTGACGCTATAATAACGACAAAGAACTCACTGGTATATGACCTTTCTATAGCCTCATGATGGAGCTGTGAGCTCCCCGGGTGAAGATACAGAGCTGGTGGCGGCGGATCATATAACTGTGGTGGAGGAAGTTGTGAATGGTCAGGAGGGTGGTAGTACTGGGAGGGAGGGAATACTGGTGGCGGCGCAAAGTGGGCTTGATTTTGGTGATCTATAATATGAACCATTGAACCTTGCTGAGCGGATGGAAGCTGGCTAGAGGATCTGGCAATCGCTTGACCAGTCTTTGATGTTGCTGCCTTCCTTCGTGCCCCGGAAGTGGCTGCCTTTGCCTTTGATTTTGCGGCTGTCTTTGACTTGGGAGGGGCCCGATCGAAGGTGGGAGCTGCCACCAGAGGGATCTGGGTATCGTGTTCTATATGGTCATCTAGTTGGGGTGTGTCACCAGATTTTTTCGAAGCCTTCTTCTGCTTCATTTGTTGTACGGCTATTTCCCGAACCTCTGCCACATTCGTAACTCTGAGCGGTGATTCACGGAGCATCTCGGGGATTACAAGATTGATATGATCATAATTATGAATAGAGTAGGCATTGACAAAGTAGTGTGGGGTTGACTTGTGCTGAACGATAGGTTTCGTGCAAGAAGTTTCAAGCTGTTCTTGGCGCACGGGTTGCTGGACAGTGTCTTTACACTGTGAATCAACACAGTTGTGCTGGAGATTAATGATGCATATGATATCCTACAGTGCAAGGGTCAGAAACAGCACACACAATCGATTGGATCTCAAATTCACCATCGCCGTTGTGACAACCTTGTTGTCAGTCAGGTTCAGACAGGGTAGATGGACGGAAGCATGCAAAGTGTCTGCGAATGAAAAGAGCTGGAGTCCAACATGAACAACAGTGTTTGGATCCTCGGATGATATGAGGATCTCGCGAATACGTCCAACACACGTCTAACAATATCCCCGCATTAATAAGAGTCATACAGTGAGGAAATTGCTCACCTGTTCATCTGCCGCTCGACGGAAGATAACATGACTATTCAGATATGCGACGTCCCCTTCTCTCGCTACAAGTGATTTGCCTTGATAATAGGCAATGCCAGGCTGCGCAGTCTTGAGGATCTTCCAGCAATACATTTCTTTCCAGGCCACTGCATCGTTCTTGCCATTTTTCCGTGAGCGCGAAGAGAAGTCTGAGCTTTCCGGAACCTATGCGAAAAGAATTAGTAGTGATAGAGTGAGCTAGTGGGGTAGGATTACCAGGTACTGGAGTGTTGCAATTAAAGACTGATAACCCGAGTAATCGTGCTTGCTCTGGGTGTTCATCGAGATACCCTAGAATTTGCACTCCTCCCCAGACCCATTTCGAGACTTTGTTATCATACCAGTACCCGCCAGTGACAATATGCTTGATGATATCTTGATGAGCGAATACTCAGCAAGTGTCACGGCTCGGTGTTTGACGATTACTGTATACACATGACAAACGAAATACATGGTTAAAGGACTCGTATCGTTCTGTTGAAAATATCACTGCTGGTCCAAAACGCCGAATATATGCCGGGAGATGGACTAAGAAATGAAATTTGGGCTTGCTTATAATGATCTGGGCGCGCACACTGCTGTGATGTTAAGAAAATTTTGAATCGTTCGAGACAGCTTTGCCTAGAGAAGAATGAGAACTGAAGTTATTGCATATATCTGCGTAAACCTACAAGATAAGCTTCCGTATTCACAATATTTGTGTGCCAGACGAGTACGATGAGCTCTCCTATTACAGTCCATGTGTTGAGAACAGTCGAAGGGACGATATCATAAATCAAAAATGGCATCACTTGCGCCAAGCTTTTAAAATGTTTTCCTATCAGACTGCCTTTATAATGGCAGACGTAGTCTGCATTCAAGCACGGAGCATTGAGTCTGTCCTTATCAACAGACTCAAGACGGACCTGAAAGACACCCATGAGCTTTGCCTTGTCGAGCAAAAACACGGTTTGCCCTCAAAAATATTTGATGACACCAAGCAGTATTGTGTGCAGAATTTCTGTTGGAGTGTCCATGTGCATATCGAGGCCTGCTAAGAGTGTGAATGAGAGTTCAAATTCGCTAGAGTACTATACTAACCTTCCATCCCTAACAATGGGTTAATAGCGTTGTCGAGCTTGTTGCCTTGCAAAAGTTCTGCGAACTCTTTCTCGAGGACAGCTGCAACTTCAGCTTCAGGCATTGCCTGGGTGCCAGCTGCACGCTTTCGAAGTTTCTTCCTGAGTTCTACTAACACATTGAGGATTGAACCAGAAGCGGAATCACGAACACCAGTCAACGATACTAAATTATTGATCTTCTCTGACACTCCTGACTTCAATGCGATCTCGAACTGTTTTCGGATCTCTGCCGTCGTATTTTCAGGAGTTCGTAGATTGCCTGACTGCAGGCACAATATTAGCTATTAGAATGTAGTTCAAATGTATTCCTACCATAAAAAGGCTTCTGTACCCGTCACCAGACACCTTATGCTCTTTCATCCTGCCAATATCACAAGTCCTGCAAAAGTAATTGCAGTTTAAGCCGGCATGGCTACATTCTTCTGCTTGCATGGGGTTGTCTCCAGCAAGGAAAAGCGCGTACGGAACCAACATAACCTCTTCATTGTATTTGCAATCCCAGGCGATTATACCTGATTCAGCAGTGTTACTGCATATGTCAGAGCTTCGACTTCAGCAGATCGAGGAAACAATGTACCATATAGATTCTTTCATGGCTCGCATAAGTTCCATGGGAGCAGCATGCGGTGATGATGTGACAAATCGCACAAAAAATTCCTTCTCGAGCATCTCGCGCGGTAGGTTGGCGTTTGACATATAAATTGCATGGTGTTTGTTCCATTGCTTTGAGACATTGCCAGAAACATCATCCATAAAAATGAGGAGGGGAACTGTATGGACCATCCGGCCGTTAGACTTCACACGCAGTGGATTCGGAGCAAGAGATGCATATTTTACTGATGAAGCTGTTATATTGTATAAGTAGCGAGTCACTGATGCGACAGATGTAAATCAACGCACGTGTAAGGCCACAGTCAAGCTTGCCTGGAATTGCGGCAATCTCTTCAAACGATCGCATAAACATGGATGTCGGAATGATCTCTTGTTGCTCGTTAATGTTAAATCCAGCCTTAATATAGTGAGGACTTCGTTTATCTGGATATATTTACAACCAGAAGACGTACCTCTGTTTGTTCAACCACCCGACCAAGTGCATATAATGCCTTGTCATCTGACTGCTCGGATGGGTCAGAGTCGTCGTCACTCGAATCTGCAGGCAGCGAGGCATGAAAGAAGTGTTCCGGTATAAAATACCCTCCAGAATCATCCTGTAATAGTTCACCTGTGAAATAAATCATTCCATCCACACGAGCTGCGGGCAGTGAGGGCAGATCAAGCAACATCTTCTTGCCATTGAATACTTGCGACATTCCCTCCCCGCTATCTTCTGGATAGTTTTGCATTGCAAAATGAGTCAGCGGATTTCCATAATCCTAAATCGTAGTGTCACAGTTGCTGTTGCATACAAACACGCTAGACATACCTTTGTGATCGATTTGCAACATCATTGATGTAAAATACATTCCCAGATCGAGCTGTCACCTTCTCCGTCGGATCGCCAACAAGACTATCCAGATATTTATGGGATTTCTTGATGGCGCCACGTGAGGGGACATCTCGAGCGCTGAGCTCTTGTGCCCAACTGAGGACTGCCCTCTTCTGGGCATCAGAAAATGGGAGACACGGAGAGCCGAAAAGGAGGGAGGTCACGAAATGCTTAATGCAAATTTAAGTGCTACAATATTGCTAACACAAAGAGAAACAAACCGATTTTGATGGCCAGGGATATGTGGGATTGTCCAGCGAAACTGTGTCCTTGATGTTCGTTCTTTCGTAGATATCATCTAGTTGTATGTTAGATTATAAGGCCTGCAAAAAGAAATCATAAAGTCACTCACCAGGGAGCTCTATCCCAAAATCAGGTGTACTGTCATCAGAAAGGTCTCGCTCGTCGTTGATTGGGGCAAGTGGCGTCGAGAAGGGTACTTCTCCTGAAGCAATGATCACCTTGAGTTCTGCGAACAAGTCCAAAGGGCCTTCGTCGAACTCAAACATGCAGTCGCCGATCGTTTTATTCAGAAGCTCAGATAAATCAAGTTCAGATTCGGAGGGCCCATTATCTGCCACTGACACAGGTGCCGTGTATGGTAGCGAGTCGAGCGAGTCGTTAGGTAGCGCATCATAGAGATCCATGTCCATTGGAGAGTCGGCATTGGTATCAAAGAAGTCATCGGCGCCAACGAAATCATTAGTATGGGCCTGGACAACTTTTCAATGCTGCTCAGAACGTTTTCTTTGAGCATGACAGACATGAACACCTTGTATGATGTGTTTGTATATATGTCGAAACTCCATCAAACGATGATTGCCATCCTTGAGAGGGCACACCATGCATTGGACACACTTTTGAGTGCTATCGGAATATTGAAGGACTGCAGCATTAAGTCAGTAGAACATTCATACCACGAAATGAAAGAAAATGCACCAATACCATCAACTAAGTCTCTGTTATTCAGTGTCATACCAAACTGATCTAACAGTTATAAGTCTCGATTCAGTGACTTGACGCTCAATCCTCCAAGTCTGCGCTGATGCGTATGATCACGTGAGCTTCCACCTTTGAAATCAACAAGTCTGAAGTCCCACGACGCAATATCTCCAATCAACAACTCAGTCTTCATCAACTCTCCACAATGACCAATGAAATCACCCACTTTGCGACCATTATCACTCCAGAGGGCCATTTTGATAATTCTGATGGTGCACCGTGGCAGTGCGTCCTCCTTACAATGTGTTTTTCAGGCAGGCTCCCAAGGCAGACAATTCAGCGAACAAAAATTGTAAGTACTTGTTGTTGCCGTCAACACGCTTGCTCATTGTTATGTATGATAGCCTGTCCATATTTCAGTTGCTATTGCTGAAGAATATGGGCCATTTACCTCCCTGGTTATGGAAGCTATATCAGTGGATCTTTGCTCTACTCGTTCGAATTCACCATTAATGGATGATGTGAGTTCTGAATTCTGTACTGAATATTTTTAGATCTTACTTTGCGCAGTCAACTCCCAGTCAAGCCAACAACAATACTTCCCCCCAAGAGGATGTCAGTATCCCATTTCTCCCACTTCGAGGAACCTTCGACTATGCTAATCCGATGGAATGGGCCGTGCTATCGAAGGATATCGAAGGATGGTTGGTGACCGAAGTAGATAACAGGTCTCAATTATGGACATGGGGATGTGATGCTTTCTGGCTCACATTTGTCGCAGCATACCCTTTATTTCCCAGAGGCAAATGGCCAATGTGGGACCCTCGCGTTCCTTTGGAGGGGACATTTATTCAGGAGTGGTTGGGATGGTCGAGTGATATTGACGCCATGCAACTACGGGGGAATCATTCTCTCCTGACTCTACTCAGTGTACTGTGGGCCAAATTCAACAAACATACTGCGCTCTTTTACCCTTTCCCTCTCCTTGCTGTCGACCGACTCTAGGTCACTTCTGTTTGTGTGCTGATATGAATTTGTTGATTAGCTATTAGTCTGCATTGTATGTATACTACTTACTGTGCCAATGATAGCATTGTTTTATGCTTCCGAGTCAGCGTGATTCTGCCGCAGAGACGCTTTTCATCGCCCAAGATTGTGATCTAGATAGTCCGTCTGTCGGTGCTGTCTTGGATGCAGCGCAATATGTACTGATAGATGTGGGATCAGCCATACAGGCTGCTTAGATATTAGCACCAGCTGGGTTACAGGCAAACTCAATCTAACGCGGAGTCGCCCGCTAAGTAAGAATAACTCCACCATAGGAGGCCGGAGCCTGAAAAAAAGGATTGGTGCAATCCTTTAGAACAACATGAAAGACGCATTGACCATGACAAACATGACCAAATGTCGAACACGCCCACTAGGAGTGGAAGATATTTGAGTAAGACTCAAACAAGAACACGTCGCTCGCAACGACGCTAGTTATCACGCGACCCATTAGCTTAGTGTAAATAAAATTAAACCCAAATCACAGGTCTGATTTTCGACTGTTCTACATGACTGACCTTGGATATGTCCTATATATGCACCGCAAAGGGTGTATACTGGCCCCGATTTGGACGGATTTTCAGCTGTAACCACGTCATCAGCCAGGATCGGGATAAAACCTTTCATAGACACCGCATATGTACCCTATGTAGGTTAAATTTATTATTTGTGTGGTAAGGCTGCAATCGAACCAGTATTTAGCATGTTGCTATGTGTTTTATATAACTTTCGCACCACCTCGGTTTGGGCCAAAGCGGCACTTGGCGGTGTAGGCCCCCCGCGATTATTTATTCGACTTCTTCTTTTTTTTATAAAAAATCCATTTATTGTCCGTTTGGATTTATTATCGCACTTGTGAGTTGGAGCTCAGTACAAACACAATTTGGCACACAACTAATTAATACAAAGTATCTGTTCAAGGTACCACTAACCTGGGACTGAGACCAGCTTTTCGAAATATGTAACCAATGTGGAAGGTATTCTGTGGCGATGGTGCTTCAATTGCATATCCCACACTAAGGAACTTGGGATGAGGACAGGGAAAAGGAAACATGGGTGGAGGTGCGGCAACGCTCGAACGCGAGTCATTCACTCAGTGTCCCCGGAGCCGGAGAGGACTATATCGTTCAATATCAGGCGAGTGCACATTGGCAAGGTTTGCAGCTCCGCCTCTGCCAATTGAGTGTCTGATAAGGGGATCATAAGCTTGTAAATTCAAGACCGCAAGCGATGTAGCACGCATACCTCACTTGAGCATGAGCATGCTTCTTTCTTTCCTCTTCGTCCATATTGTCGACGCTGGTGGCAGCTCCGTATTGAATATTCCCTACTCCGCCTCGTCCCGTGGAACAAATCATTGGATCACGAGAACGAGAACGAGAGCGGGAGCTTGATATGTTACCAAGACCGCCTCTTCCAGAAGAATGCTAAGATGTATTGGGCTTGCATCAACGTTGCGGGACATGATATCAGAAGGACATACAACGGGTTGGATTCAGCGTGGTGCGTCTTGACCCGCTGTTCATATTCTACCTGAACCACAGCATGCTAGTTAAGGGTAGTTACGGTCTGAGGTTGGTCTCTTACCAATTCCTGAGAAGGGGAGCGTATATTACCCGCTCCACCCCTACCCACCGAGAACATCTGCGTCTACCAAGAGCCATGTGAGTAATCATCTTAGAAAGAAAGATGTGCAACATACCCTGTCAGCATGCGCAAGTGGCTCCCGCCCACGAGTCAAATCAGAATCATCCGGACCATCGACGGAACGAGAATCACTTGAGATGGAAGAGCGTCGAATGTTACCCACACCGCCTCTACCTGAAGATTGCTAGCGCACGAAAGGATTATGGGATGTATTTTAGCAAATACGACTGCACTTACAAATGCATCGCGTCCCCGAGATACAGACCTCTCGTCGCCACTTGAATCTGCCATGAGTGCAAATTAGCTTCTGCAGCGAGAAATGATGGTGATGGAAAGATGAAAGAGAGTGGAATAAAGCTAGGAAGGAAGATGGCTATAAAAGGGACGGGAGATATGCAGCTACGGTTGTGCACGAGGTCGGATCCTGCACGAACTTTACCTACTATGACGCTCAAACAGGAAGACAACTTTTCCTGGGAGATAAGAAGAAACTGAAAGAGGCAGCCAAGGCCAGAGAAATGAAGAGTCAATGCGCAGTCGTGTAATTGCCCTTATTAGAGTTTTCATCTAAGCCATCTCTCCAAACTGGCGCTCATCTTTCTTCCGAATAGAACACATGCAAAACAGAAAACTCACTTGTTTCGTTCACCAACGTCGCCCTATCACCGCTGCCATGCGTAGACAACTGACTCAGCCTCTGCTGTGGAAATGACTTTGAAATGGAGATTTTTCACGAGTCTCCAGACATGTTGTTTGGCCGCTTATCGAATCTGCCAACAATCAAAGATTTATAGACCAACCATATATATCACTATTACGGGAATCGTGTCGAATTGTGTCGATATCGAGGGAGGATGTATACGTGTAAACCACCTTGCATGCGTTGCATGATGTCGATCATGTGAGTATACTTGCGCTCCAGTTCGACCATGTGGCGCTTGGAGGTCAACCAGAGTGACCAGTCCCCTACTTATCACTCGTCCGAAAATTCTCGGTTCCAACTTCCCAGGAGTTGCGTCACTGCAAGGTACGGGCATCGATATCGCTCCTTCAGGCTTCATAATGCAAGACCCCGATCCAGCTTCGTCTATCGCACAATTGATGAGGTCGGACAACCTGTGATTGGGCTGGGCCGAGCATTAGCTCGGTCGGACGCTGCCGCTCGGGTGGGCGGGAGAACTCGACATGCGGGCTGATTGAACGACCATTATGAGTGAAGATATACGAATCTATCAATTACGGACCAGATCTAGAGAAATTGAGCACGGGTATTTAAAATATCAAAGAACGAGGTGATACGATGGAAATTATACTTGGGGCAAAATTATGAGAGCGAGCGGATCGTATGGTGCAGCTATGAAGGGAAGCGGGAACAAGAAGGAAAAAGGCTTGGCCGCTTGCCGCTCAGCTGGGCCGGTTCCTTCCGAGGAACCGGCACCTTCCCTATTTTTGTTGGTTCCTATTCATGTACGTTCTGATTCAGCTCAACACCCTCGTTCATTCGATCGTGTAGTCCTAATTCTAACTTATCCAAACGTCTACTGTAACTGTTCACACCGCTTGAATCACAAACATGCCAGGCTCACCATCCGATCGCGCTCTGCCCCCACTTCTGTTTCACGACAGCGAATCTCAAGACCCACGGACATCTATTACACTTCATTTTTTACTTCTGCCTACGAGGAACCTCCAACACTTGGTTTTTTCTCTCACCTAGATGCACCTTCCTCCCAAGTTGCCAACCCGCACGATATTGCACCCTACTTCAACGCGATCCCACGTCTCGCTCTGGCCTGATTTTTGACAACTTCGGTTTCATGGATGCATAGTACCGTGACCTCAGCACACCCGCGACCATTTATTCGACTTGCGTCGCACTTGTGAGCTGGAGCTCAGTACAGACATAAATTGGCACACAACTAATTAATACAAAATATCTGTTAAAGGTACCAACTAGGACGAACTGTTCGAAATATGTGACCAATATAGAAGGTATTCTGTAGCGAGGGTGCTTTGATTGCATATCCCGCGCTAAGGAACTTGGGATGAGGACGGGGAAGAAGGAACATGGGTAAAGGTACGGCGATGCTCGAGCGCGGGTCATTCTTCCCGGGACTCGGGATCCCTGGAGCCATGGCTGGAGGGGTGGGATACCTTGTTCCACAGAGCAGCAATTCCATGTTTCTCTTTGGCATCGCGGGAAGGTGTCCGTCCACTTGGGTCGCGCGACGCGGAGCGGGAGCGTATGTTGCCAGCCCCACCGCGCCCAGTAGACTCAAATTCAGCGTGATGATGGACTACACGTTCAATATCAGGCGAGTGCACATTGGTAAGGTTTGCAGCTCCGCCTCTGCCAGTCGAGTGTCTGATAAGGGGATCATAAGTTTGTGAGTTCAAGATCACAAGCGAATGCAGCACACATACATCGCTTGAGCATGAGCAAGAGCATGCTTCTTTCTTTCCTCTTCGTCCATACTGTCGATGCTGGGAACAGCTCCATGTTGAATGTTGCCTACCCCGCCTCGTCCCGTGGAATGCACTAATGGACCACGAGAACGAGAGCGGGAGCTTGATATGTTACCAAGACCGCCTCTTCCAGAAGAAAGCTAAGATGTATTGGGCTTGCATCAATGTTGCGGGACATGACATCAGACGGACATACAATCGAATTGGATTCAGCGTGGTGCTTCTTGACCTGTTGTTCATATTCTGCCTGAACCGCAGCATGCTCGTTAAGGATAGTTACGGTCTGGGAGTGGTCTCTTACCAAGTCCTGAGAAGGGGAGCGCATATTACCCGCTCCACCCCTACCCACCGAGAACATATGCATCTACCAAGAACCATGTGAGTAAGCATCTTAGAGGATCGAAATATGTGCAACATACCCTGTCAGGGTGCACAGCTTGCTCCCGCCCACGAGCTGAATCAGGACCATCGACGGGACGAGGATCACTTGAGATTGAAGAGGATCGAATGTTACCTATACCGTCTCCACCCGAGGATTGCTAACGCGCAAAAGCATTATGAGATGTATTCTGCGAATACGACTGCACTTACAAGTGATTCACGTCCCCGAGATACAGACCTGCTCTCGACGTTAATTGAATCTGCCATGAGCACAAATTAGCTTCTGCAGCGAGAAACGATGGTGATGGAAATATGAAAGAGAGTAGAGAGAGTCAAGCTACACAGGAAGACAGCCATAAAAGGGGTCCAAGAGACGGTGGCAGGGGAAATATGTGTCATTGCAGCTACAGCTGTCCACGAGGTCGGATCCTGTACAAACTTTGCCTGCGATGACGGACTGACAGCGAGACAGGTTCCCCTGAGGCTGGGAGATAAGAAACCCAAAGAGGCCACCAAGGCACGAGAACTGAAGTCAATGTGCTGGTCGTGTAATAGCCCTTTATTAGAGTTATCATCTCTCCAAACTAGCGCTCAGCGCTCATCTTTCTTCCGAATACAACACATATGTAAAACAGAAACTCACTTGCTTCGTTCACTAATGTCGCCACATCATCTCTGTCATGCGTAGGCACCTGATTCAGCCTCTGCTGTGGTAATGACTTTGAGTCTCCAGACATGTTCTGTTTATCGAATCTGCCAACAATCGAAGATTTATTGACCGACTATATCACTATCACGGGAGTTGTGTCGAATTGTGTTGATATCGAGGGAGGATGAGTACCAGTCGGGGTGTATGCATATGGCGTTATATACATGATTTCCGGATCCAATGTGTTGTACATTGCAAGTACTGTGACTCATCAACGACGTTACGGTCGGATCTCTGTCCAAGAGCCAACGGCGGCCCGCCCACCGCCTCCTGTCACAACGGATCTGGTTCTGTACCGACGGGCCTTGTCTGGATTTCCTCCAAACAAGTACTCGTACCACTTACACACATGTTGGCCATTCTGCCATTGATTGGTTTGTCGACCGTGACTCACACCAACAGCGACGCCGCTGCCAGCACCAAGTTCAAGAGGACTGATCTGAGACCCCGAAAACGAATATGACACCGCCAAGGCACCACATACGTAATACGTACAGCATCGGCAGCAACTTTCGAAATGAATCTCAATCATCGAGCATCATCGATTCCACCTTCAACGTCATCAATGATCACTTTGTAGTTACTCGCGATTTCATCGTACCTTGAAGTGACGCAGCTTCCTGGAACCGGACGAGTAACAAGGTACCATGCAGTCAATCAATTCACAAATTCGGACAAGAGGGGACGGTATTAGACTTCAGCCATGTGATATTCCCCGGTTAATAACTGTTCGCTTCCTGGAGGTCGAGCAAAGTCATTTTTGGACAGTTCATATGTCCGATCAACGAGACCTCCGAGGATTTCCACGGGATGATAATTTCCACTAAGAGACAACCACGTTGCAAAACTTCAACGCCTACAAAGTCATACAAACTAAGAGAAAGCGCCATTAATTCATAATACAAGTGAGTAAGCTTAACGAGAGCAAGTTGCAAATGACGACGATCTACACCTTGGAAATTGTGAGTGCTAAAGCGACATGTTAGAATATGAAATGTACGGACCTCCCAAAGCTCCTGATCACGCGACCTCCATCCTCGTACCCGCCTCTACCTCCAGAACCTTTAGATGCGTCAGACCACATGCCCCGCGGACCCAGTCGCGTACGAGGCGGTATTTTCGTGTTTCCGTGCATCCAGGAACGTCACACTGTGGTTTCTCCTTCGGCAGAGGTGGCTGTGGCGCCAGCAAAGTGCCGGAAAGGACAGAGATGGGCACGCCTAATGTGAGGTGCATCTTGCCCTGAGCAACATCCTCCTGTGACATAGTAGACGAATCCGCCAATGGTCGTGTGCTGGACACCCACCGCCAAGTAGTCGGTAGGACGACCTCCTTCTCCTCCTGCTCGACCTCACGCTCACCTTCGGATGCACTGGCCTCTGCGGTGGAAAGCGCGCTGCGCTTGGCTTTAGACTTGGACTGCTTTTTGAGGAGGCGGTTGATAGTCTCTGCCTGCAGAGGTGGAGTCGTACATAGTAGGGGATGACAGATAGAATGCCGGATATGGCGCGTGAAGTGACGAAAAATGTTCAGTGCCCTCCTACATGTAGTAAATATATCCGACGAACCTTCTCGTCCTCGAGCTTTTTCTCGGTGAGATTGCGACGTTTTCGTGCCGTCTCTTCGCGTCGAAGTGCGAGCTCGCTCTCTGTGAGCTGTTTCTTCTTTCGAGAGGATTCGCCAGTGGCTGTCAATGAAGGTTAGCGTTCGGCGGGAAGGAAAACAAAATGTGTAAAAATGGCAATATATGGGATGCGAACATAACAACCCGTCAGAGAAATGACAAGCTTTAGGAACTCGAAGGGAGAATAAAGGAGACAAGAAGGGAGCATACATAGAGATACATGCGAAGAGCCTACAACACTCGCAAGAACCGCCTGGCGGGAAGTCATCGGGCGCGTAGAACCCACCGCCTCCCCTTCGTCATCTTCATCTTCTGACTCTACGTCGATATCTACGCGTCATAAGCCCAGCAATCAGTCGCGCGCGCGAGGAGAGACCACGCAGAACACACCACCAGAACGCCCACGCGATCCAGTATCTTCAGTGCTAGGCACGCTCGGTAGCTTGAGTTTGATCTTAAGACGAGGCTGCTTGGGCGGAGACGGAGGAGGAGAAACCTCCTCAGACTCCGGAGCATCCTGAGCGCATAGAATCAGTATGCTAATAACCAGAAGTAAATGATATCAACACACCTCTTGTTCAGCTTCAGCTTCCTCTTCCTCCTCCTCAGGCTCTAATTTCTCCTCCTCCCCTTCATTCTCATCATTTTCATCCTGAAGCTTCTGATTCACCTCATCGATCTCCATCTCCGCGTCAGAGCCCGAATCCGACATTTGCATATCTGCTTGTAATAGTAATAGTCAGCGAGCAGACACAATATATTTATATTTAGTCGAGGTGTGGGAGCGGGAAAGCGGGAGAAAGACGGTCATGAATAACTTGGACAGACCTGAACCGTTGTATTCGTCGTCATCGTCGTTGGACACGCTTCTGACGACTCTCCTCATGTTGCATTGATCTGAAGAAATTTGAAACCCAGATACCTTACACAGGACATACAAGCAGTGACATCGTTCAATTTGAATTTCTCAATTGACCACCCATTACGTGATGGCATGCTCAACTCATTCCATTCGTCTGGGAGTGTCGCTTAGAGGAACTCGTGAGTCGTCAGCACAGCGATAACTTGATTGTAGGTCTCGATCGAAGGACCACAGGTGGCAGCTTGACCCTGCTCCACTGTAACCGAATCTCGACAATCCCATATACCTGAGATTGCACCTGCCGATAGCACTTTATTGTCATCTGAAGAAGCCTCTGACATCTTAGAACTCCGGCGTTGCAATCCTTGTGCATTATACCAACACAGGCTAGCTTCAATCTCCGCAACCTCCGAGTGATAGCTCAAAATGCGGTCGCTGGTTCGGAATGTGATGATGCATGATGCACAACAGTTCACTTCATCAAGCATCATGCATATGGTCGGGTCCAACTTATTTGCTTCCCACTTACATGCACCGCCTCCTGGTTTCATCTCACTACCACTACGTACTCTCCAGCAAATAATGACGTCCGTGCTACGTATTCAACCAAAAAAAAACGCTACATCTTCCCACTAGTAAGTGATGTAAACAATGTGTCCTGAGTTCAAGTCAGACTTGTCTTTTTACTCCTTTCGTCAAGATCTCGAAACGTTTTTGCCTCGCGCTCAGGTAGTGTCGCTTGCGCCCAGAACGACATGCATACAAGCCATAAAGATAGACGCCACGATTTCTCACAGTACAACCTCGCTTGAACCTCAAGGCCTCACCGGCTCCGGTCACCTGCAATTGCGGTCCAATTCAATTCACGAAATCCACTACAGGCCTCCCAGAATCAACCGAAGATAAGTACTGCAGGACAGAACTAACCATAAGTACTAGTGACTAGATCTAAGATCATGATGAGGTTTGGATTCGGACGCCATCCATGATTACACCAACGTGGCAGCTGCAGGGCACTAGCATAGAAGCAATGCAGTTTGGGCATTCATTAATGCTTTCGGCCGTTCTTGGATCACTCAAGTACTCAGGCGCTTTGCAAATTTAGTTAGTGGGTATGAAGGCTTTATAGTACTATTTAATACGCGCAATCAGCTGTTTTTAAACCTGCTCACTCCTGTTGACCATTCGATTCAGCGCAACGCTGCAGACGTCCATTTGTACTAACAGCAGGCTCATTACTGGCATGGGTAACATCTCGTCAGTAAAAGTATCTTCAAGGCCTCAGCGGCAGAGTCATATTGTGAGGCATTAATTGTCTCGGTCATTAGATTCAATCACTGACTTTGCCATCACATTGACAGATCAAAAGTGGCAACAACAATTCTGTAGATAATACTCCCGCCTCCGCAGATTCTGCAATGTGAGCTTTCAACCGAGGATCATGAAGAAATGATTTCTCATGCCACGACAGCCGCCCGTTGACGAGACCAGTCGTACAAGTGCCAGTATCCAGTATCACTATGGAGCCGTATGTCCGATCATCATATCGTGATGGATAGCACTGAACATGCGGGCCATAGAGATGCATCGTTTCAAATATCACCGCTAGTCCAGGCACCCAACACCGTGCGTGAAAATCTTGTACCGTAAGTATTTCACGAGGCTCTGGGTTATAAGATACTTCCTCGAGAGATAACAGTGGCGCTGTGACTGTACTACAGCCGGTTCCCCATGGTACACATGAAGCGCAGCCGTAAGTGCAAATTTCCTCATAAACTGCATATATCAAAACACGAGGCACGGACTCAGAGTGGCCTTCGATGCGGACCCATTTGCCATTCCGTCTACATCCATCAACAAGCAATCAGATTATCCGACGTCATCTGGTAACTTGGGCGATATCTGGAGGTGCTCAATGACCACCGATCCAGCGACCTCTACCGAGGTTCATATGATGCTACCCTGCAAATCTCGCCGACTAATATTTGTTGGACAGGTTGCTGTCAAAACTATAAGGATAGCGGACATACGTAATGAACTAGCTATCCAAAGAGCGAAGAAGGTATGCTAATATTTATTCCGTGATATGAAGTGCATTGAATGCCCGCTCGCAGAGACTTCGTCGTGAAGTAGCCGTGTGGATCAGATTGAGGCATGCGCATGTTCTCATTCTTTACGGCACGGTCTCCGGTTTTGGTCAACTGCCTGCTCTTGTTTCTAAATGGATGCATAATGGGGCACTTGATGGCTACCTGGAGCGCACGAGCCTCACTATGGAACAGAAACTAAAGCTGGTGAGATTTATAATGCCAAACATAAGTCCCTACTCAATGGATGCCCTTATTTAGTTGAAACAAGTGGTGGATGGCTTGAGATATCGTATGGGGTCGCCGTTCCGAATACACGTTTTCTCTCTGACAACCTCTCTAGTTCATGAACATGAAGTAATTCACGGGGACCTGACCAGCGTATGTGCTCTTCGATACTTCAGAGTCCTTACTAACTCTATAATTGAAGACAAATGTTGTGATCGACCACGATGGCAATGCACTTTTGGCAGATTTCGGTCTCTCGGTGGCTCTCGCAGAGAATGACAGAGCGTACTACAACTCGTATTCGAGTAGCGCTATCCGGTGGTTAGCGCCCGAGTTGATTGGCTCACTGGAACCAGAAAGCAATCTGGACAACACTCGCGGCGATCTCGACTTCCTGAAACCGAACAGTCAGAGCGATGTATTTTCGCTCGGTTGCATCATGCTACATGTGAGTCACGTATGCTAGACCCTGTTCGAGTTTCACCTGAATATTGTATCGTACAGGTCTTCTCGGGTAGACCTCCCTTCTGGTGGCTTAGAAATGTTCGACAGCTATTCAGTGCTCGGTTCAAGCGCGTAGAGCCATATCAGCTCGAACCAAGTGTGACCGTTAGCCACCAGCATTTAGATTTCATGCGGAAATGTTGGTCAGCCAAGCCTGAGGATCGTCCTTCCACTGGGGATGCTGCTTCCTTTGTGGAATACGAACTGGCCAGTTTATTTATTTATTTTATACCTCATCTAACTTCTTTACCAGAGACGTGCAAGCGGTGCCATGACTATACTACAGCCGGTTACCCCTGATACACATGAAGCACCGTCGTAAGTGCAACTTTCCTCATAAACTGCAGATATCAAAATACGAGGCACAGATTGAGTGTGGCCTTCGATGCGGACCCGTTTACCATTCCGTCTACATCCATCAGGAAGCAATCAGATTATCCCGCATCATCTGGTGGCTTGGGCGATATCTGGAGGTGCTCGATGACCATCGATCCAGCAACCTCCACTGAGGTATATATGATGTTACCCTGCGAATCTCGCCGACTAATATCTGTTGGACAGGTTGCTGTCAAAACTATCAGGATAACGGACATACTCAATAAAGAAGCCGTTCAAAAAGCGAAGAAGGTATGCTAACATTTATTCCGTAATGTGAAGAGCATTGAATGCCCGCTCGCAGAGACTTCGCCACGAAGTAGCCGTGTGGCTCAAACTGAGGCATGCGCATGTTCTCATTCTTCACGGCACGGTCTCTGATTTTGGACCATTGCCTGCCCTTGTTTCTACATGGATGCACAATGGAGCACTTGATGGTTACGTGAAGCGCACGAGCCTCACCATGGAACAGAAACTAAAGCTGGTGAGATTTATCATGCCAAATATGAGTCCTTACTCAATAGATGCCCTTGTTTAGTTGAAACAGGTGGTGGATGGCTTGAGATATCGTATGGGATCACCGTTCCGAATACAGGTTTTCTCTCTGACAAACTCTCTAGTTCATGAACAGGGAGTGATCCACGGGGACCTGACCAGCGTATGTACTCTTCGACGCTTTGAAGTTCTTACTGACTCTATAATTGAAGACAAATGTTGTGATCGACCGCGATGGCAATGCATTTTTGGCAGATTTCGGTCTCTCGATGATTGTCGCAGAGAGTGACAGATCCTTCTACAATTCTTATTCAAATGGCGCTATCCGGTGGTTAGCGCCAGAATTGACCAGCTCACCAGATCCAGAAAGCATTCCGGATGACAATGACAGCGATGTCGACTTCCTGAAACCGAACAGTCAGAGCGATGTATTTTCGCTCGGTTGCATCATGCTATATGTGAGTCACGTATGCTAGACCCTGTTCGAGTTTCACATGAATCTTGCATCGTACAGGTTTTCTCGGGTAGACCTCCCTTCTGGTGGCTTAAACATGTTCGACAGATATTCAGTGCTCAGCTCAAGCACGTGGAGCCATATCGGGTCGAACCCAGCGTGACCGTTAGCCACCAGCATTTAGATTTCATGCGGAAATGTTGGTCAGCCAAGCCTGAAGATCGTCCTTTTACTTGGGATGCTGCTTCCTTTGTGGAATACGAATTGGCCAGTTTATTTGTTTATTTATACCCCATCTAACTTCTTTACCAGGGGCGTGCAAGTGGCGCCGTGACTATACTACAGCCGGTTAATTCTGTAGACAACACTGCCGCCTCCGAAGATTCCGCAACGTGAGTTTTCAACCGAGGATCGTGAATAAATGGTCACTCATGCCATGATAGCCGCCTGTTGACGATACCAGTCGTACCAGCGCCAGTATCCAGTATCACTATGCAGCCGTATGTCTGATCACCATGTCATGATGGATAGCACTGAACATGCGGGCTACAGGGATGCATCGCTTCAGCTTCAAAGATCACCGCAAGTTCAGCCAGTCCCAGCATCCGATATCACTACTCTCCAGCCGTATGTCTAATTACTATATCATTATGGATAGCACTGAACATGCAGGCTACAGAGATGCATCAATTCAAATACCTGCACTGCAAGTCGATGTGCAGTTCGATCTTCCTATATCATCCAAGACAGTGGATGAAAATGTTGCACCGTAAGTATTTCACGCGGCTCTGGGTTATAAGTCGCTTCCCTCACGAGATAACAGTGGCGCCGTGACTATACCACAGTCGGTTACCCCTGGTACAAATGAAGTGCAGCCGTAAGTGCAAATTTCCTCATAAACTGCAGATATCAAAACATGAGGCACGGACTTAGAGTGGCCCTCGATGTGGACCCATATGCCATTCCCTCTACATCCATCAGGAAGCAATCAGATCATCCCACATCATCTGGTGGCTTGGGCGATATCTGGAAGTGCTTAATGACCATCGATCCAGCAACTCCAGCGACATCTACTGAGGTATATATGATATTGCTCTGCGAATCTCGCCGACTAATATCTGTTGGACAGGTTGCTGTCAAAACCATTAAGACTGCGGCTATACACAATGAAGATGCTATCCAAAAAGCGAAGAAAGTATGCTAGCATTTATTCCGTAATGTGCAGTGCATTGAATACCCACTCAGAGACTTCGTCGCGAAGTAGCCGTGTGGATCAAACTGAGGCATGCGCATATTGTCGCTCTTCACGGCACGGTCTCCGGTTTTGGACCATTACCTGCCCTTGTTTCTACATGGATGCACAATGAGGCACTTGATGGTTACCTGGAGCGCATCGGCCTCACCCTCACCATGGAACAGAAACTGGAGCTGGTGAGATTTATCATGCCAAATATGAGTCCTTACTCAATAGATGCCCTTGTTTAGTTGAAACAGGTAGTAGATGGCTTAGGATATCGTATGGGATCGCCGTTCGGAATACACGTTTTCTCTCTGACAACCTCTCTAGTTCATGAACATGAAGTAATTCACGGGGACCTGACCAGTGTATGTACTCTTCGATGCTTCGGTGTCCTTACTAACTCTATAATTGAAGACGAATGTTGTGATCGACCGCGATGGTAATGCATTTTTGGCAGATTTTGGTCTGTCGTTGGCTCTCGCAGAGGGTGACAGATCGTACTACCAGTCGTATTCGAAAGGCGCTGTCCGGTGGTCGGCGCCCGAATTGATCATTCCACTGGAATCAGAAAGCATTCCGGATGGCAGTAACAGCGATGCTGACTTACCAAAACCGAACAGTCAGAGTGATGTATTTTCACTCGGTTGCATCATGCTACATGTGAGTCGCGTATGCTAGACTCTGTTCAAGTTTCACCTGAATCTTGCATCGTACAGGTCTTCTCGGGTAGACTTCCCTTCTGGTGGCTTGGAGATGTTCAACTGGTATTCAGAGCTCAGTTCGACCGCATAGAGCCATATCGGGTCGAACCCAGTGTGATCGTCAACCCCCGGCATTTGGATTTCATGCGGAAATGTTGGTCAGCCAAGCCCGAGGATCGTCCTTCCACTGGGGATGCTGCGTCCTTTGTGGCATACGAACTGGCCAGTTTTATTTATTTATTTATACCTCATCTAACTTCTTTACCAGGGACGTGCAGCTCGATTTAGAAATGTGCGCTAGTCAATTGCGAACAATCTGATCCTTCGCTCATTTATCTCATTAGACCTTTTTCGCGCCTGGACAGCAAAGCAACAATAGTGGCTATGTGAGTCCAGTTTTATATCCTTTTTGAGCTCTTGCCAGGTCTGACACTGAGACAGGGCAACAACTTCCAGGATGATGACACGAACCGTACGCCTCGTCGCTCAGCAGACCCATCATCTCCGCTTGATCCGCGCAATTTGTTCGGTTTCCTGCGCTCCAACACTCGACCTACAAATGCGTCCCTATCAATTCGCCTCCCGCCCCGGCGTTTGAATGTCAGCTTATTTCCTGTGAGAATCTCCAGGCGTCCCGTGGATGTTGATCCTTGCAGTATGGAAGATGTGAGTCGCTTGTCATCACTACGGGCCTTTGTGATAACACTCACATTATTTTGCAGCGATATGCCATTGCCCCTGAAACCGACGCGGAAGCAGCTGCAGCTATGCAACGTACGAATAGCAACAATGTCGACAGCTCAACGCGGCAAGTACAAGCTGTAGCGGGGGCACAAGGGTCCCAAGGACAAAGTCCTCAAGGGCAACGTTCTGATGTCGAAACAGACAAAATTCTGATAGGATGCTGTGGATTTTATCTTGTTCGTCGTCGGCCTGCGCAGAACTAGTCCTTCCATCGATTTATCATGGAGGCCATTGTGGTTCTTCTGCGAAATCATTTCTCGACGCGCATGAGTCAACGCAAGCACTTGAGGATGGAAGAGCGGATACGGTAGTGAAGGATTTGAGTGTGCATAGGATAGGCTGAAGGACGAGAGTAGTGAGTGTGGGTGGTTTGGTGACGCCGTCGTATGTGAGTGATTATAGGGCTGGAGCGGCTGATGGTTTGAATAGGCTTCAGATATGTGTAGAATAGTCACTGTATCAGCGTCATTATTAGACTCGTAACCTACGTCATTATCAGACTCAGTGAATACTGCCTTGTTGTCAAACACCGGTCCGTTATACTTAGACGAACTGCTAATTAGAGCGGCCGATAGATAGTTCAAGTCAAGTTGCAGTGGATGCACATTGGTCTCAGATGCTAACGGTGTACTATGTCGTATGACGAGAGCTGATAGTGTGAGCGAGTTTGAAGTGCGTAACAGATATCACTTGTACCATCTCGTGAAGCTTGTGATTGTACAAAGTCTTTGGCTGTCGGACGAGAAAACAGGAGGTGGTGAATGAGGTTGGCGATAGCATTCCATTCGCCTAGGAGTGTCGCTTGTGAGTCGTGAACACAGCGATATATGGATTGTAAGTCTCGATGGAAGAACACCTCTGATCATGTATGTGGCAGCTTGACCTGCTCCCGGACTGTAACCGAATCTCGGAATTCATCTGCTCCGCGGACCGAGTGATAACTTAAAATGTGGTCGCTAGTTCGGAATGCGCTTGCTTCCCACTTACATGATGCACCGCCTCCCGGTTTCATTTCACTACGAGCCAGTTCGGCAACTCGATGTTGGGGCGTATTTGCCATGTTGCACATCTGGCGCAATGTGAGTTGCACCGGCATGCTCCCGGCATATAGTCGGAGCTTGAATGTAATCCTAGGTTAGACGACTGTATCCCTGGGCTTGTGAATCCTTCATAGTACTATGGAGTCCCTACCCGAAGTCTTTCCAGGGCTTCGTCTTCAAAACCGGTCTCAGGTTCATCATAAAATCATACAGTATGTAGTACTTCTACTCAGCATTCTCATCCATGCCTCCGGCAGTCTTGTAGCATCTATGTACCCAAGGGACCCACAACCCTACCATACATCAGCGCTTTCTGGTGAAGCATGGGTGGTCGAATTACTCACTGGTCATCTGGAGCGCATTCGTTGTGAGCTTGGAGTGCATGCCCATGTCTTTGCAGAGCTCATATCAGAACTCCGTACCCTTGGGTATTCCGACTCCAAGTTTGTCTCTCTAGAGGAGCAACTCGCCATTTTCCTGTATGCCGCTGTCACAGGCCTGTCAATCAGGCATATTGGTGAAAGATTTCAGTGTTCCAATGAGACAATATCTCGGTAAGTGTCATATTTTCATGGACTGGACTCATTTGTCATGCTATATCTAGATACTTTCGAAGGATGCTCGTAATTCTAATCAACCCCGCCATTCTATTCAAAATACGTCCACCTCCCATCAGATGAAGCAGTTTCTCGCAAAAATTCACCAGAATCCCAAATTCTGGCCGTTTTTTAAGGACGCCATTGGGGCGCTTGATGGGAGCCATATCCATGCTACACCTCCTGCACTTGAACGTGCTGCCTACCGTGATCGCAAAGGTCTCGTCTCTCAAAACTGCCTGTTCGCATGCGACTTTGACATGAATTTTACCTATGTCCTTACCGGTTGGGAGGGATCCGCCACAGATGCACGTGTTTTCAAGGACGCGTCTACCAAAGACCTTAAGATCTCCCAAGAAAAATACTTTCTAGCTGATGCTGGTTACCCTCTACGCCGTGGACTCCTGATACCATACCGTAATGTCCGCTACCATCTCGCTGAGTGGGGATGAGCGAGTGTAAGGTAAGACAGTCCATATTCTTTGGAACGCACACTAACATTGATGGTAGGCCGTGCAATAAAGAGGAGCTATTCAATCTTCACCATGCCATGGCAAGGAACGTCATTGAACGTGTCTTCGGTGTCTTAAAGCATTGCTTCCGCATCCTCATCCTCGCACCAAGGTATAACTTAAACATTCAAGCGCAGATTCCAGCTGCTCTATGTACAATTCACAACTTTATACACCTGCACGACCCACAGGAGGGTCCTATCCCAGATACTAACTCAGATGGGGATCCGGCTGAGGATGAGACTGACCCACATGAGGCAGTGGTACCAGAGGAAGAAACAGCAGATATTGAAATGAGCCGCTTGCGCGACAACATCACTGAAGACATGTGGGCTCAATATGGGCAAGTTTTGCATGAACGAGTACTAGCAGATGGTGATGACTTAGATGAAGAGGACTTACTTGGCCTGGATGGTGATGACAACGCAGACGAGGATGAGGGTGCAGATGCAAACAATGATATTCATGTATAGTTCTTATGCGTGTATTAGAACCCAATGCTACATGATTGTGGACTCGAAAATGATGGTGGGACAACAAACAACAAAGCAGACAGAAAACAGTGCGACAATCACAGAACATACAGCCTAAGATACATTGTACAAGTAAGGGATGAGATGTGAAAGTGATACCTACTTCGCTGCATGAGCCTCAAGAAGCGCCTTGATATAAGAGCGGCGTGGTCCCAGTGGGCTTTGCACATAAATCTCCATCGCCCGCTCATTGCTTGTAAAAATTAGTAACAGTCGGCCCAAGTCCTCTGCAGGCACCTCCACGTCTTCGGTTTGCATAAGGATCATGGCGCGATCAAGAGCGGTTGCAACCAAGGGGGGAGGGGGTGGAGGAGGTGGTAGTGGTGGTGCAGGCACAGGCGCTGCAGTGACGGCTTTTTCGAGAATGTCACCAATGCGGTTGATGGAACCCTGCATGCCAACAACAGCAGTGGCAGGTGAAACCTTCAACCCTCGTGCTGCACTGGTCATCATTGCGACCGCACTGTCACCGTGACGTCCAGATCACAATTTTTTTGCAGGAGGGGGTGCTGATACCAAGGTAGAGGACGGCAAGGGACCAGAAAATGACAGATAGCTGGATAGGTGAGTTGATGATTCCATGTCGCACGATGCATCATCATGAGTGCGTTTTCCAGTGCCAATACTGGATGCAACAGTGGAAGGAGGCAAGATGGGAAGACGAGAAGCATTGAAGTTGGTATCACGAGGCAGTTCCATGGTAGCAGCAACAGGGTTATTACTGGCACTGGCAGCTGATGCGATGATGGTTGCAGCAGCAGCAGTAGTGATGACATGCTCTGCGCCAGGCTCAACATCATCGTCAGCCAGTACTGGAGCTGCAGCAGCAGCCAGATGAAATGTGTGAGTTCCCTGAGCGCCAGTGCCATTTGGGAAGATCTCAGCTAGTTTGTCGTAGTATATCCACCCGCTGTTGGCAAATGGCTGCATTGAAGCGCGGGACGTCTATTTAATATATTAGATTACAGTAGATAGCTTTGAACAGGGGACGTACACTTGATGTGACGTAGTTATTGAATACCTCTAATGCAGTCCTTCCTTCGATTCCAGCGCCTCTGGTATTATCCCAGTGAGCTCCTGAGACGTTGTGATAGTTTTGGATCTCTCGGTATATCCCTCTGAGCTGGTACAGGGGTAGATATTAGTAGAATGGGACGTAGAGAATCTCAATGCACTCACCGTGTTCCATTTACTTCTACAGTGTTTATTTGTCTTTGGAGGGCCTGCAGTTAGCAGGTCGGCCCTTGCAAGGGCAGTTGCTGCTGAGGTAAATGTAGACGGTGAAGGATCTTCAACTCAGCTGAGGGTGCAGCTGATATAATTGTTGAAGGGAGGAAAATATGAGTGCGATATATTCGTCCCTTAGGGGAAGCGGAGAAAGCAAATATCCACTGGTCAACTCTAGGGGGAATGCGCAAAGCGCGTGATAAGGCGAAAGCGCGGGAACAAAGGCGCTATAGGCGCGCGAAGCGCGGGAAAGTCGCGCGTCGAAAAGCGGAACTGGGTGAAAGCGGTATGCGAGCGATAGTGAGATGTTAAGACGTGTACTGAGATGCTGATAAGACAACTGATGCGGATATGGCCACTAGAGCTAACTGCTACTAGGGCTTGCGATGATTTATTCAAAACATAATAAAAACTCGGAGATGGTGACTGTCTATGATGGTGGTGGTCCGTGGTAATGTGTGTTGTGTAAAGTAAAAAATGTGTAATGAAAAATGTGTACCAAGTGAAAATAAACATGGTACGATGTTGAAATAAATGATAAATGGAGAAATGCATACCTGGGAACTTGGTTGGACATGGGAAAACACAGTGGGAAGTCAGGCGCCCTATAGCGCTTAGGCGCGGGAAAATTCGCTTAAAGCGCGCGCAAGTCGCGCAAGTGTCGCCTATGTCGCGGAAGTGTCGCCTAAGTCGCGCGCGTCGCGCGAACGTCGTGTTTATCGCGCAAGTGTCGTGTTACATGCATGATACTGTAGACTCGACCTATGTTGCAATATGTGCCATTGTGAGGCTACCCAGGATCGAGTCTCTACAACGGCTTGAAACCGCCATCCCCAACCTCGGATTTGTTGCTGACTAGGTGATCGAGAAGAGCGTTCGTCTCTGCTACATTCCATTGCGCTTTTGGCTCAGCTGGTACTGGTACGACAGTAGCAGTGTTTGGCTCGGTAGCCATTATAACAGTAGTAAATTGGCCGCAAATAGATACAACAGCGACGACCGATGAATAAACTAGCTTGCAGAGGTGAGGGTCGAGCCAGTCCATTGTGGTGCTAGTCAGTAGATAGGGAAGGTTCGAGCTCTGACTGACCAAAGGTATATGCCGGTGTAGAGACTCGATCCTGAGTAGCCTCACAATGGCATATATTGCACTGTAGGTCGAGTCTACAATACTATGCATGCAACGCGACACTAGCGCGATAAACGCGACGTTCGCACAACGCGCGCAACATAGGCGACACTTTCGCAACATAGGCGACACTTGCGCGACTTGCGCGCGCTTTAGGCGAATTTTCCCGCGCCTAAGCGCCATAGGGCGCCTGACTTCCCACTGTGTTTTCCCATGTCCAACCAAGTTCCCAGGTATGCATTTCTCCATTTATCATTTATTTCAACATCGTACCATGTTTATTTTCACTTGGTACACATTTTTCATTACACATTTTTTACTTTACACAACACACATTACCACGGACCACCACCATCATAGACAGTCACCATCTCCGAGTTTTTATTATGTTTTGAATAAATCATCGCAAGCCCTAGTAGCAGTTAGCTCTAGTGGCCATATCCGCATCAGTTGTCTTATCAGCATCTCAGTACACATCTTAACATCTCACTATCGCTCGCATACCGCTTTCACCCAGTTCCGCTTTTTGACGCGCTTTGCGCATTCCCCCTAGAGTTGACCAGTGGATATTTGCTTTCTCCGCTTCCCCTAAGGGACGAACATATCGCACTCATATTTTCCTCCCTTCAACAAATATATCAGCTGCACCCTCAGCTGAGTTGAAGATCCTTCACCGGGAGCATGCCGGTGCAACTCACATTGTGCCAGATGTGCAACATGGCAAATATGCCCCAACATCGAGTTGCCGAACTGGCTCTTAGGCATGCCATCAATGTTCTCAACTGCACTGCATGTGATTTAATTATGTAAGCACTGGTGCCGCACACTCTCCGGCAGTATCATATGATGGGGCTTCCGAGTCTTTCTACTATTTAATAGGTGCAACCAGCTGGTCTTAAACCTGCTGACCCTTTGATTCAGCGCAACGCTGCAGACTTCCATCTGTACTAGTGATAGTAGGCTCATTATCATGGGTAACATCCCGTCAGTACTTCGAAAGCGTCGAAAAATTGTGAGGCATTAGTTGTCTCAGTCATTAGATAATAGATTCAATAGCTGACCTTGCCATCAGGTTATCACTAGTACAAATGAAGCGCAGTCGTAAGTGCGAATTTCTTCATAAGCTGCAGATGTCAAAACGCGAGGCACAGACTCAGAGCTGAGGCTCGTCCTTCCACTGGAGATGCTGCTTCCTTGGTGGAATACGAACTGGCCAGTTTATTTGTTTATTTTATACCTCATCTAACTTCTTTACTAGGGACATGCAGGTGACGCCGTTACTACACCACAGCCGGTCACCCCTGATACACATGAACTTGATGAAGCACCGTTGTAAGTGCAAATTTCCTCATAAGCTGCAGATGCCAAAACACGAGGCACAGATTCAGATTGGCCTTCGATGTGGACCCATTTGCTATTCCGTCTACATGCATCAGGAGGCAATTCAGTCATCCCATATCATCTGGTGGCATGTCCGATGTCTGGAAGTGCTCAATGATATCCAATCCAGCAACCTCTACTGAGGTACATATGATGTTGCCCTGCCAATCTCGCTAACTAATATCTGTTGGACAGGTTGCCGTAAAATCTATCAGGATTTCGGACGTAGTAAGTGATGAAATTAACGTCCAAAAAGCGAAGAAGGTACACTAGTATTTTTTCTGTGATGTGAAGTGCATTGAAAGCCCGCTTGTAGAGACTTCGCCGCGAAGTAGCTGTGTGGATCAAATTGAGCCATGCACATATTCTCACTCTTCACGGCACAGTCTCTGGGTTTGGACCATTGCCTGCTCTTGTTTCTACATGGATGGATAACGGGACACTTGATGGTTACCTGAAGTGCACGAGCCTCACCATGGAACAGAAACTAAAGCTGGTGAGATTTATCATGCCAAACACAAGTCCTTACTCAATGGATGCCCTCGTTTAGTTGAAACAAGTTGTAGATGGCTTGAGATATTGTATGGGATTGCCGTTCCGAATACGTTTTCTTTCTGACATCCCCTCTAGTTCATGAACAGGGAGTAATTCACGGGGACCTGACTAGCATATGTACTGTTCGATGTTTTGGCGTCCTTGCTAACTCTCTGATTGAAGACAAATATTGTGATCGACTGCGATGACAATGCATTTTTGGCAGATTTTGGTCTCTCGGTGGTTCTCGCAGAGAGTGACAGATCGTACTACAAGTCGGCTTTGAATGGTGCTGTCCGGTGGTCAGCGCCCGAATTGTTTGACTCACCGGAACCAGAAAGCATTCCGGATGACAGTGACGGCGATGGCGACTTCCCGAAATCAAACAGTCAGAGCGATGTATTTTCGCTCGGTTGCATTATGCTATATGTGAATCACATATGATAGACTCTGTTCAAGTTTCACCTGAATCTTGCATCGTACAGGTCTTCTTGGGTAGACTTCCCTTCTGGTGGCTTGCAGATGCTCTACAGGTATTCTATGCTCATTGTAAACACGTAGAGCCATATCGGGTCGAACCCGGTGTGACCGTTAGCCACCAGCATTTGGATTTCATGCGGAAATGTTGGTCAGCCAAGCCTGAGGCTCATCCTTCCACTGGAGATGCTGCTTCCTTTGTGGAATACGAACTGGCCAGTTTATTTATTTCACTGCAGAAAACCGCAGATTACGTCTGGGACGCATCTGGCACAAATCTAGACATTCGTACCACATTCATCCCACATTTCACTCACATCATGGCGGCGCTAGAACTTCATTCTAATCCTCTCATTATGACCAAATCCTGGCAACATTCTATGCGCTGTCCTCGAGCCTAGGATAAGCTCAAGCTTAATTAAGGTATCATGCATGTATATTTTGACTTAGCATTTATATAAAACATATTTGTTTTTGATATCTTCGAGCGCGTGATGTTTACAAGGCCGTCGCGTCACATCAACATCATAGTTCTCAAGTCCATAACTTGCTTGTGCAGCTGTCTCAACCATTGCGTGTAATCTTCGAACCATGGGTAGAAAGGTAAGGACCATGAAGATATCTCCTTCGCTGACCGAGGAAATCCTTCAATCAGGAGGAACTTGTACCCTGCCGATGCATGAAATGCGGGAAGACTGTCCTTCAGTTTACTATGGTCACTCCACGAACTCGGAGAAGACACGAAGAACAAGACACGGATGTGTTGAATGCACAACGGGCCCAGGAATATAGTAAGAAGCATCAGAACAACCCGATCACCGCTATTAGTACCAATGGACACAGTCTCCGAAACTCGAACAATGTCCCTGAGCAGGATCCCAGTTACGATAACCTTCTGGACTCTACGGATACAAGTCCGACTGTCTTTTCCTCGAGTTTACCTCCATCACCGAACCTCATTGCGGAAGACTCACATGACGTTATAACTGACATTCAAGATCTGGATTTCGACTACTACCAAGTGTTAAGACCGTACTCAAGTAGTATTGGATCCAAAGGGCTTCGGCCTCAGCTCGTGCGCTGTGCCCCTTTCCCGAGTCTTGCCCCTTATTTCAGAGAGCTAAAGTATCGCGTCTAGTGAGACGGATAAGTCTTGTATTGCAACGGATAAGTATTGCAATGGATCCGTGAAGACTTCCGGATATCGAACGTATAGAGTAATGGCTAATCCGGATCGGATCCGGACTAGAAACTAACGGGTGAGGACTGTCCGAAGACAGAGGCAGATATGTAGACTATAGGAATCTATCCTAAGTCTCGGAGTAGACAAGAGTAGCGTACTCAAGTCCGGACGGATAACGGAGGGACTTAGAGTCCAGATGGAATGAGTGCAATCTAAGATGATATTCGAACTGATCTACTACAGCGCATATACAAAGGTTTATATACTACGGATAGCTAATGGAATGATCAATAAGCAAAGGTGCGAGGCTATGTACGAAAGTATAAGCAAAGTCTAAGTGGAGCGTATTGGTAAGTTGGATGGATCACGAATCATGAACCGGGAATGAAGTACAAGTAAAAGCGGATTCGTAAGTGTAGCGGATCAGTAAGCATAGCGGATCATAAGCAAAGCGGAAGTAAAGGATAACCGGTATACCGGTGTACAGGAATACCGAAAGGAGATGAACGATAGTTAGAGTTATATGAACAGGAAATGAAATAAGAATCAAAGCGGATCTGTGGACCGGACGACGGATATGTTCATCGGATCTGGATCGGATCTGTAACCGGATATATGGTATATGACAGTATCCCCCCCTTAGGGCCGATCCCTAGAGGCACAAGAATCAGCGATCCGGAACGGATGGTATGAGTGCGAGACAATGGAGAAGCTGATGGGAGAAGTTGCTGAGTTCGGATTCTGACAGATATACGGATGCCAAAGCGTCGCAGGGTGTTCCTTCCTTTCCCTACTTTTTCACTACCACTAGCTTATCTCAACCATGACTGATAACGGATCCGGCTCTAAGAAGACCGCTAAGCAGACTCTGGCGGATATCCAGGCCGCGCTGGCTGCTGCTGAGGCCGAGGTTCGGAAGGAGGAAGAGGCTGAAAAGCAGAAGCAACAAGCGGAAGAGGCGGAACGTAAGCGCTTGGCAGGGATTAAGAAGATTGAACGGGCTGAGGTCCGAAGGGAAGCGGAGGAGGCTAGGCGCAGGGCTATAGTAGCGGAAATGGTGAGTTATGACTTGTTCTATCGGATCCGTCCCTTATCGGATCCGTAGTCTCGCGCTATCTCAGCGGATAAGGATGGGGCTTGTACCCGCTGCGCTAAGAAGGGTCGGGCCTGTCTGTGGTCCGATGCGGATAGCAATTCCTTGGTAAGTCGTCCTTGAATCTTCGGATCCGTGACTCTTAACGTTCGGATAGATCAAGGCTTGTAACGCGTGCCGGAAGGACAAGGCTCCTTGTCCCGGACGACCTGGAACCGTTACGGATTCCAAGTCTAAGAAGAGGCAGCGCGCTGCTGAGAACCCATCTCCGAGAGGCAAGGGTAAGAAGCGCCAGCAGAGTCCGACTCCGGATCCGGATATGAAGACGGTAGTAGCGGATGAGGTGAAAGTGGAGTATGATGATCAGGCCTGGGTCGCGGCCGCTAATAGCATTGTAGCGGAACTGGCTCGAACCAACGGATTGCTCCAGCAGAGCATCGGAGCGGCAGAAGGGAGTAGGACTGCTATAGAGCGGATGAATACTAACTTGGAGGCGTTTTTGGAGCAGCAGAGGGAGTTCCAGACCATCCTTCTTGAGGGGATCTGGAATGGAATCCGGATTACAGAGGCGGCTCGTTCTGAGGCCACTGACAAGGACGTTGATGAATCCGGATCCGGATCGGGTGGGGACATGGAGATGGATGGCTGAGGATTTTCGGATCTGCCTTCTCTGCTACTAATGTACTTGTATATCCGCTTTGTATATTCATTGTATAGCAATAGGACCGTGTTTGTCTGGATATGCAGTGTGGAAATCCGAGACTAGATCGGACACGTTTCCGAGTTCCGTGGCTAGTAGCCATGAAGTCTCTTCGTCTGTTCCTTCGTATCCGGACCATCGGACGAGGTATAAGAGTTGGCATTGTCTTCTACGACGGTCCAGCTTAGAGTCTAGGATTTCGGATATCTCATATTCTGGTTCTCCGTCGACTTCGACCGGAGGTGGAGGAGGCTGGATCTGATTGGGAATTGTGTTCAGAACGGATGGTTCTAGCTGTGAGACATGGAAGACGGGGTGGACGGATTTCATGGATTCGGGAAGTCGGATTGTAAAGGAATGGGTACCCGGACGGGATATGACTTCAAACGGACCTAGATTCTTTTCCGAGAGTTTCTTAGACGGACGAGTGGACCGGAAGTACTTAGCCTTGACAAAGACTTGGTCTCCAATATTGATATCCGGAGCAGGTTTCCGTTTAGCGTCCGCAGGTCCTTGATATCTTTCTTGGGCGTGAGCCATTTCTTCTCTAAGGAATTGGTGAAGGTCGTCGAGGTCTATAGCATAGTCGCGAGTGCGGATGGAGGATAGATCGCATTCCGGATGGACGGATATGTTCGGATGATAACCCTTATTAGCAAAGAAAGGCGATACTCTGGTAGTAGCACTTGGAGCGTTATTGTAGGCAAATTCTGCTAAGGGAAGTAGTTCCGACCAGTTGTCCTGTTGATAATTGCAATATATCCGAAGGTATTGTTCCAGGGTTTGGTTGGCATGCTCAGTTTGTCCATCCCCTTCCGGATGATATCCGGATGTGAAGTGGAGGACCATATCCAATGCTTTTCCTAAGGATCGGAAGAAGTGGGATACAAACTCTGTACCGCGATCCGAGGTGACATGGGACGGAACTCCGTGCTTGGAAAACACATGAAGTAGGAATAGACGAGCGAGATCCGGAGAGGTAATGGTATCGTGAGTCGGAACAAATATTGCTTGTTTGGATAAACGGTCTATGATAACGAGGATGGCTGTAAAGCCGGATGAGTCCGGAAGTTGCTCTATGAAATCCATGGATATGGAATTCCAAGGCTTTTCCGGTATGGGTAGTTGCTTGAGCAATCCGTAGGGTTTATGTCTCGGAACCTTGGCTCGGGTGCAGGTAGTGCAGGACCGGACGTAGTCCTTAACATAGGTGCGTATACCCGGCCATGTATACTCGCGTCGGATGAGGTCTAGGGTTTGGTTTTGACCAAAATGTCCGGATAAGGGGTGATCATGAGTATTACGGAGGACGCGAAGTCGAAGGTTATCGGATTCTGGGACATATATACGGTTGTCGCAACGGAGGAAACCCCTATCGTCCACTGTCCATCTCGGATCCGAAGGTACCGGAAGATGGTCGGTTGCAATAGGGTCATTAGGAAGTGCGGTCAGGATGTCTTTCCGAAGGTCATCAATATCCATTAGAACAGCTGCTCTAAGAACCGGGGTTGCTAAGGTTGAGGCTCGTAGGGACGAAGCTAACTGTTCGGACGTGAATACCGGACGGAAGTTATGAGGGTTAACTCGAGCGTAGTCCTTATCCCCCTCTTTGGGATAGACGTCCCAGCATCTAGTAAGGGAATCCGGTTTAACTCCGAGTTTTCCGGGACGGAAGCGGATGACAAGATTGAACTGATGGAGGAATTCCGACCAGCGGGCCTGACGGCGAGAGAGGAGTTTGGTAGTGGCGAAGTACTCAAGGTTCTTGTGGTCCGTGACAACATCTACAGGCTCGGCCGAGCCTTCTAGATAATGTCGCCAGGTCCGGAAAGCTTCGTATATAGCTAGGAGTTCCTTATCGTGGGTGTCATAGTTAAGTTCCGGAGCGGTTAGCGTTCGAGAGTAGAACGCTACCGGACGAAGCTCTGAGTCCGGACATACTATGGATAGTATTCCAGCTATAGCGTAGTCAGAGGCATCGGTTTCCACAACTATAGGAACATCCGGCATCCAGTGCGTAAGCACCGGAGCGGTAGTGAAGGCTTTCTTGAGTTCTTCGAAGGATTTCCGACATTCATCGGAAAAGTTCCACGGAGCATCCTTGCGTGTAAGCCGTGTTAACGGAACCACAATATCCGAGTAGTTGAATATAAACCGTCTATAGAAATTTGCGAATCCGAGGAAGGATTGGATATCCTTGACTTTCCGAGGTTCCGGCCAGTCAGTAATAGCTTGGATCTTATTGGACAACATAGTTAAGCCGTCCAGAGATAGGAGATATCCGAGATATTCAACGGAAGTGGAATGGAATTCGCATTTTTCGGGTTTGGCATAGAGACGATGTTTACGGAGTCGACGGAGTACTTCTCGGACGTGTTGCTTGTGGGACGCAAGGTCATGGGAATAGATGAGGATGTCGTCCAGA